TCATCACTGATTTCATCATCAATAATCATCATCAAATGTCAAAGAAGTTTCTCTCAACTCTAGATGTGGCGGTATCATTAAAAAGTTTCTCAATTGTTGATTATTCCATTTTTTTTTTAATATTCCTCGGAACTCTTTTTGTCTTTTATTTTGCCTAATGGGGCGGAGGTCTTACACTACGATTAGCGGTATTAATTTTTCATGGTTAGCAGACTCGACGGGGGGGCTATGTTTCAGCGATGCAGGGGAGAAAAAATATTGAGCATCAGTCTACCGTGAATATAGACGCCAGGTGAGTTTGCGAGTGATTGAGCGTTGCTCGCTGGGTGGAAAATAATTCGCGAGAAGTATTTTTAATGCTCTACGTCGTTATTTCCACGATATTATGAATTTCTGGTTGTTATAACCTGCATTGTTCATGACCCATTAGAGTAGTGCATTGTGTTGATTGGTGGATGGCTATATTCACGGAAGAGTGATTATACCGACGGGGTTACAGCCACTTGTGATGTTATGGAGTTATTTTTTTTGATGGAATGAGAGTACGAAAATTATTTTGACCAAATTGTGAGGGTCAAAATGATTAAACCCACGGACTGAATAAATAATATTCCGTCCCCCGCACGCACATAACCCCCAAAACCCTAGATATCTATGTTAATTACCTATTTACCTATGCTAAAGTGATGTTTTTGATTAAAAGCTTCTTCTCATAATCTGCCGTCTGTTTAATCTTAAGTGATTACATTAGAACTTTAACTACAAATAACTACGCAACGACTACTAGAGAAACACGTTTAAGATTTACAATTTTTCATTGAAAACTGTTTGTCTTTTTGAATAATTGTTTTTACTGTGTTTTATTGTTTATTGCATCTTCCATTGCCGTTTCTGCGATTTATTTAATGAGAGAAATAGAAAAAGAGCGCGAGACAAGTTAATGGGCCATTACCTCTGTCAGCTTTTTCTGATAACATTAATTCAATTAGTTAATAATAAATAAAATAAATACTTTTTTTTTAGAATATTTTTGCTCTCTTGCCTTTGGGCATCCTAGATTCGGACGTTTAATTCTTCTTTTCGATGACAATTTTATTTTTCATTAATTTAATTATGTAAAAAGAATTAAAAAATGAAGTCTGGGGGAGAGGGAGGGGGAGTGAAAGAGAAATACTGAGGACGGTTTTGGAAAATTGTTTATCCATTGTGTGGAAAAATTAATGCCGCAATTGTTTTTCTTCATTGAAAGTTTCTCTTTCATTCTCCGGAAAATAAATACAGTCGACTCTTTATATAAGATACCTTTTATTACTGTGCATTAACCTAACGAAATTTTTACTTCTAATTAATTAATGCGGATAATTAATGAATCAATACGTGTTTAAATACTATTATTTCGAGTAGTTATAGAGTTTTCACCCCTTCTTTGAGCTCGAGGTATGTTATACAGCGATTCGACTGTAATATAATTCTTCCATGCACTGAGTTTTCGATTATTAAATAATGTTTTTCATCATTTCGTGTTCGGTTAATTGATTCTCTTTTGAAAACGCTGAAAATACCTAATGGAATGGGGGTGGAGGCAGGCGACGCTTTGCTTGACGTAGGACCACTGAGTTTGCCAGCCATGCGTCTGTGAACATTCGTCGCATCCAAACAATGCTTTAACTAAGTTATACAACTGTTGTTTTTTTTTGTTCAATCGATTTATTTTTCATGAAATTGTTAGTCTCCCACGTACGTACGTATTAATGGAATTATTATTCGTTGATTTACGTCGAATAAAATAGCAATAACAGGTGCGAGCTATTTAAATAATAATCAATCGATGTTTACGGTATCAATTGAAAAATGTCAATAGAATTATTGCCAGGAATTGACGCATGCATCCTCTGTCCTGTTGGAACAATTGTACGAGTGTGTATTTTACATGTATTTATATTGTTTATGAATACGATTTTTGAGTATGTGAATAACATTGGGGTGTTGTATTATCATTTCTTCGGTATCATCTCGATATTTTATCGTCATTAATTGGTATTTATTAACTTTGGGGATAATATACAGGTAGTGAATAGATATTTACAATTTGCGGGGCGGTTTTGTTTCGTGAATAGGGTATTGTGAGTGCGTGGACTAATGAATAGTGAAAAAAGGCTCATTTCCTTTCTAATATATGAATAAATGAAGGAAAAATACTTTTTTTTTTCAATTCAATTCCGCCAGTTTGGATTTTTAAACAAATCATAAAATCGATTTTGACTGGTGGGAAACATCATAATGTCCCGTGGGCTGAAGATGAAATGAAATTGACCGCACAGATGTCGCCTCCTGTATTCACGTCGGGTGGGCGTCGTAAAACAAATAAAACCGTTGCAAATGTCAATATTTAAAAACACGAAATTCGAGGCATTCTGTATACTTAAAATTTATACGCAACTGTAAAACCCATCCCACTCCATTCACACATACAATAATTTCTTTCATCAATACACTATAACGAACAATATTTACAATGTTTACATATTCGAACGGAGGAAAAACGTTTTCATTTCGCGGAGGAGTTGATTGGGAGAAATGACGACTAAAGATATTGAAAGGTGGGCGGATGGAATAACTTTGCGCGGGATTAAAAAAACGTAATAACGACGAGTGCATCCCATGAAAAGCGAACAAAATCCGATGACAACGGAGAGAAATTGAACGAGCGCGTGTGCTTCGTCGGACTGCAATGTTTTAAAATTCCTTTTTTTTTTTTTTCAAGGAAGACCTATTTCACTTTTAGTAGCGGTAGGGGCGCGACGATAGCGCAGCGTTGCCAGACTGCGCGGTGAAAAAAAAATCTATTGCATCTAGTGAATTGAGAAATGATTGAAAATGGAAAATATGGCGTACCTTCTGACAGTTGACTTGATGATGTTTATTCTATCGATCAAATAAAATTGAGTTCTGGCAACACTGCGTTAAGGAAGCCCCGGCACATTCTGTCTGTCTCAATTCCGAATAAAAAAAAAATGAATAGTTATTGATATTTTTATGTTGTCACACTGCACTAGAAAAAGTCACTAGATGATTTTTAAATTCACTAGATGATACTGTAGCACTCGAACCGCTCTCCTAATAGTTATTATAATGTTTTTCTCATTGCTCGGGAATGATTCTGTATTCTGTCGAGTAGCTGTGTAGCTGGGTGTCTCCTGTACTGAGGGTAGGTAGTCCCAGTGCACCTGCAAATTACCACCATACCCTCATCTAAATCCCTAGTTACCAATCATTCATTTCTATAAAAAAAATTATCGAATTCAAGAATTTATCAAAGTTCTGATAATTTTCTCTTCATGTTCTCTACGCAAACTACTGGTCGTTTTCAAGAACTACCGACAAGCTCTAATTACTCAAGCGGTGAAAAAAAAACGTGTACCAGAGAAACTGCTTCCAGCTCGCGTGAACGATCACAACTTCATTGAAGTACTTCAGGGGCAATTATTCGAGGGGGGATTCCCCGGAGAAATCAGGCGGCCAAAAAATGTTCGCCGAGTGTTTTTCGGACATTGACGACGGGGGACAATGGGGATTGAGTGAAAATGAGGGATGGACAGCCCTCGTACGTCATACGGCTGTCCCCTGGTGCGGCCATGCCTCGTGAACTATTTTTCCAAAGAAAACAAAAAATGGTGTGTTTTTTTTTCTCTCATTCGAGGGATCTAGTGGAGGTGCAGTAGGTGGACGGAGTGCGAGTGTCTTCTGGGGGAATTTCAACGTCCGAAAAACACGAGATACTACTCATAAAGAAAGACCTTCTGCATAAATAGAAGATCCCCAGGTCAAATTTCAATCGGGGAAGCAGTTTTTCTGGTACATGTTTCACAATTAATTCAATCTGCTCTGTTTATAATCATGCCGGATGTTATCACCAGTCTTGGTTAGTCTACTATTTGATCATTAGTCTTCAATGTCCCACGCAAGGTGCACCAAAACATGTCTATCGAGTTTCGGTTTAATGATTAAATTAAGCCGAGAGTAAAGCAACAGAATGAAAAATCAAAAGATGAGCTAATTTGGACGGGAGTAATGAAGATGAAGGAGAGGGAGAGGAAGTGAGGGTTAAGCAGGAGAGTCAGATCACGGCGACCTCAGGGTCACGAGGGTCTCGACTCCCTAATATTTATCAGACATCATTTGTCTCAAGAACCTTTCGATTTCCCGCCAAATCCCTCGATCATAAAAACAATCAATAAAAATCCGCCACTGAAGATTCTTTTATATTCAATATCTCTCCGCGCAGTTGAATAACATCAACTTGACCCAAAAAAAGCCCCATGCCTGCACCGATAATAATTACCTCCTTTCTAGCTGGTTCTCGATAGCCTTCGAATACGCGGAAGCATTCATATTTCCCTTTGAGTGTGCCATTCCACATCAATATGATAGACTCATCGATTTGTTATGAGGGGAGGAATGGGAAGAAGAGAGCCAGAACATGGGCTAGCTCATTTGCATGGAGTATTCACCATCGTTACAGTTTCGAGTATATTAAAGCGTAGTTAGTGATCGATTGATCGATTGCACTGATGCGTCAGCCGGGGGGAAAAAAGGCGCATTTACTCGGTTTTTAATCCGTTATATTATCCTTAAATAATTTGTACAGCATGAACGATTCGTGAAATTCGTTGTTGCTTACTCAATGACTCGTCGAGTTTATTGATAACCCAAAAAAGGGAATGACATAAAGTAATCATTGTTTGCAGCATTCAATTAAGATATGTGCAATTTGTAGTATTTGTAGTAGCATTGTTGTATTGTTGTAAATGCACGCAACGAGTTAGTTCACAGAGGCATGGCATTGTATAGGTCCAAATTGGGATGATAAAAGAGTGCAGTTGGGGTTGGTGGATTGTGGTGGGTCGTTGGTTGCGCCTGTATGTGGTTCAAGTTGAGGTTAAGGGGCGCGATGTGGCCTGTATTATGGTGGTTAAGGTGGTTAAGGCTAAGGTGGTTACCTGTCGGATAGGGTAGTCCGAAACTAGGGTACCCAGAATAGCCGCGGCCTGCCGCGTATGCCGCGTACGCTGCCGCTGGGAAACCTGTTTTTAACATAAATATTTTTCATTGTTAATGCAACATTTTATCAAGATTCAGTGCAAAAGTCATTAGGAAATAGAAAGATTTAAATGTTGAGCGAGGAATTGAGCCTTTTCGCCTTCATTTGCGACAGATATTTAATATTCATTAAATTTTTTGTCAATTATTGAATATCAATTGTGAATGATTGGGATACAATATTCACGATACTCACCATCAGGTAATGCTCCCAGTGACCACATAAAATCTACAAAAAAACAAATAATTAATGTAATTGTTATTGGATGTAAATGGATAATAAAAATTATCTTAAAACAAAACTTGACAGTATTTTTTCTCTTATATTCACTCATTTTCTTTCTCTCTCACGTGATATATAATCCTCTAAGAATTTCTGCAATCTCTGCACGAATAAAAACAGCGAATATGTGGAATCATACATCTTTTATTTACACGGAAATATTAAGCAAAGTTTGGAGATGAAAAATAATGTGTATACGTTGCAGAAATTCAACGGTTATACGCTGAAAACAGTGAGAGGTAAAGTAAAACGTAAATAATTGAATAGAATGTTCAGAAGGAAAGTAATAAATAAAAAAAAAACATAATGAAAAGGACTGATAAGCTTCACTAGGTTAGATAGAAATAATTGGCATCCATGAAATTTCATAATTTGGATACTAAGTTTCAAATCAATAAACCACACAACTATAAAAAAAAATATAAAAAAATAACTATCGCACTATCACTTCAAGTTCGTACTAGTTCTGGTATTTCTTATGTCCTTCATAGGTACAGTATCTAATTTATTCTACTGACGCGATCGATAAGGTAAGTCCCAATGTCTACGACAAAATAATTCCTATTATGGTATTCCTAATGTAATATAACTATGGTTAATATTATTCAGCTTTTACAATATCATTATTTTTGTTAGTTGGTGATATTACAATGTTAATTATAATCATGTGTGTGTCTAGGCTCTCTTCTATGTAGGCTGATCTTATAATTCGACGACTAAAGTGTCAGATATTTGTTGGGCATCGAAATATTATCGATTTTACAGTAAACAATAATAATTTCTTGAAGGTGAAATCGTCATAATAAATTTCTCCCTCATTAAAGGGGGGTTTTCACCCCTATTATTTACCTCATCATTCCATTTTTACCGCGATAATAATCTAGGACTCAGCACGCTAGCCATTATTTTTTCGTGTGAGGGTTTTTTCATGCCAACAAATTGCTGACACACTACGACATTTAGCTTCGACGATAAACAAAAATAATACAATATTAAATGTTAAACACCGAACCACAATACTACAACTACTGACTCGCTATTTATCTAATGTCCATATGGAATATTCAATGTAAATATTGCTCTCCAATGACTATAACGCAGATGAACAATTATTTAGCATTTTTATCTCTCTTTTTATTATTATTCTCTCTATGCTAATATCTCAAATAATATACACTCATAGATATTAAATATTTTAGTTAATATTCGTACCTAATTCTCTACCGGGCTGGTTTTGATTATGTCAAGACGTCAGTTTATCTTTATGTCTCATAATATCAATTCTTTTCATTAAAAAATCATAAAATACCGGTTGAAATAAATCGGGAACAGATTGATGGCAAATTAATGATGATTGAAACCGATATTACATCCTTTATTCATCTCATTATGTTAACATTTCCATGAGATTAATATAAATTTTAATGCAGAAATTTACTTTACCGAGGGGTAATCTCACAGTGAGAACATTCATCAACTGAAGCAGAGATGTTAGTAGGTTGAGAGAAGGGAGTTTAATCCGAAATTACTTTATAGCTATGGTGTACTTGAAAGGCTATTAAATTTACATCTCAATTGAATTCACTTCAGATTTATTGAGCCATTGAATTTTTTTATAATTCTCGATGATGAACATTTTTTTTCCAGAAAAAAATCTCGATGAATGTAAATTCACTGTTGGGAATACTCAAGTGCAGTGATTATATTCACGTTATGATCAAAATCCGGCCCATCAGTTATAATACAAAAAACTCAGGATAAAAATAAAGATATGAAAAAGAAAACCTGATAGATTTATCTGGTTCTACTTACGAAACTGACTGTGATGAGCCTCACGGGCATATGTACTTTCTAGGGCACACGTCTCACGCATTAATAATATCATAAGGTACGTAATTCTCAAATACAAATAGGCTTAATAGTTTTTTTTCTGGTTTTGTTAATTATTACCACGAAACAATTAAAAGGTTGAAGGTGACAAATTTACGGGTATACGAACATGATATATTGTATAATTTATACCCGCTAGGAGGTATATTCTGTGACTAATATAGTGCGGCTGATATATTTCTTTGGCGATAAATCGTTAATATTATTATTATAGTAATACGTAGATCAGCCACTCGTTCTCAATGGAAGGACATATCATTGGATAATTATTATTCACTATTATTGGCACTTCCATGAAGAATGATTTTAATGACATTATGCTAATTCTAATAACTGTATTTAATACGTCTCTTCATCAAATCTATTCCGCTAGGTAAATATATAATATTTAATATCAATAATAGGAACGTATACAGTTGGCAAAAGAAATCAATATCATTATATAGAATCTAACTAGTTATTAGACTCCTAAGGTAGGTATTGCCTAGAGTAAATTATTATATTTTCACATTGATATTATCTTATATTTTCATCATTATACTTCAGAAGTTGTAGAATTCTTCTTCAATATTAATCTAGTGTGACACAAGTATTTACCTATAGCCTAAATTAATTATGCCTCACGAAATATAGATAGTGACTATTACAGAAAACAAAAATGGAAAATGAAGAAATAATATAAGTACGGAAATTTGAGCTAATGGAATTTTTTTTCATAAAATATATCCAATATTCAATATCAAATGCTATTTTGGCTTTTCAATGGTAAAAAACAATATATCATATAGAATTTATTATTTTAATATATAATTTGTTTGAATATATTTTGACGTAATCTAGAAAAATGGAATTATTCAGTTTCAAGGTACGTTTGATTATAAGTCCTTTTAAAGCATTAATGATATATCATTTGATAATTGATATATACATCGTTGTAGATATAGATTTTGGGTGTATAATTAATCACGTTTTAATATATTTTATATACGATTTTTCACCGTCTTCTCTTAATAAATACGTTATTAATAATTTTTTTATCATTATTCCTCTGATATTATGAAATTTCATGAAGTTATAGCAAAAAATATTGAAAAAAAACGACGCGCGTCGGTTATCGCGAATATTAGCCACATGCACTCGCATCATCTTTTATTACTTTTCCAGTTGACGAAAAACATCATAGCGTTTAAATTAATTCCCCTTGTGAGTCGTCCGGTCATTGTCAGTCTAGCAAATAAAGCTGTCTTTTTGACCTGTCGTCTAAGGATTGACTGTTGAACTTTCGTTGATTTTTTCATCACCTATCAATCTACGATCTACATCTACAGAAAATTGACGATTTTAGGCCACTGGGCTGTTTCAAAAAATTGAATTCCAATTCATTCGCTTGATATCGCCGGGAAAACAGTCGAGTGTCTAAACGCCCGGAGCTATTCCAGGGTCAGTTTTCATTCCCTTCTAAAGTTGTTGGATTTTCAAGAACGTTTGATCCTCAAAAGCCAACCTCCCTTCCAAACATTTGCCAAATTTCCAAAAAATATCTTTACATAATACTTGAACGACCCCCCATCAACCCCTCATTTTTTTAGAACCCAGTAGTTGCCACCAACCAACCACCCCCACGGACACGCTTCGCTGGCTGAAGGCATTAAGTTCCATAGGATTTTAATTGAAGTGCTTTTAGCGGTAATTGTGATAGACGCCGGAACTTAATTATTCGATATAGCCGGTGGGCTTACGGTGAAACTGAATTAGGTACTTCGTAGCTGGCATAGTTATTATCCTTCTTTCCCTCCTCGTTGGAGTTCTATCAAGGGGAATAACGGGTGGATCGGTGGGCCGATAGGGAGGGGGAGAGGGGGGGGGGTAGAACGGGTGAGATTCACTAGTATATTTCCCGTCGTTACCGATTCACACCGTGGTTCGATAATAAATCGTCCAAGAGTCTTCGATGGCCCATATACCCATACCGGTTTGAATTTATATTCATTGGATCCTACACTCGAACCCTAGTTCCCGACGATAGCGCAAGGTATTGAGCAACTTCGAAACGTAATTCCCGTTATTTTTTTTTTATCTCTCTTTCTCACACTAGTTCTATTATAATCGTTTTCTTTTTTGAACACTTTGTTATTGTCTACCATATTCTACTCGGGTTCTGACCGCCTAAGGAAATATATTCACTACCAGTCTTAGAATTTTTTTTACTTCTCGGTTCCATTATTTTCAGGCTTTCCTGGATTCATCTACTGTGGAATATATTGAGGCCTCAGTTGGTAAAGAAAAATCTACTCTTTGTTTTCTAATTTTCTAACATAACAGCGATAGGCTGGTCAGCTGAGGTTGAACATGATCAGGTTTTGGAAAGGTTTAGGAGAGCAGTGAATGGTTGATTAGATTAGAATGAATCTTGTCGGGTAAGTCCTGCCACCATAGACTTGTCCCTAGTCCTGAATCATGTCAACTTCACCTGAATTACCACGCGGTCCACCTAAAAATTGTCACTACGATCACAGTGTTCCTGAACATCGCATTGAACAGTCTCAAATTTGCATCTTTCGTACTGTACCCTTCATCAAAAACCAAATGAACCAATAATATCACCAAATTGTCTGGAATGTTCGTTGGTCACGTATCAGTCAAGTATCCAAATAACCATAACAAAGCCTAAATGAAATGGTTTCACCCGTCACTTGTCATTACTGTGGTCGTGACAGTGGCGTCAGTATCGTGGGTCATAGACCGATTGTTGGTATCGGATGGTAAACAGTTCCCATATCTAGTCCCTGAACACCAAGCAAATCGCTCATTGAGTAACTCAATGTTGCTGCACGTGAAGCGGCAGCAGCAGCAGCAGCTGCTGGATGGGGTCTGTATGCAGCAGCAGCTGCTGCTGCAGCGAGTGCTCTTTTGACATCATAAACAGCTGATGCTGTTGGTGGTGCTGCATATTGATATGCAGCTGTACTTGGTGTTGTTGCTACAATTGGAGTTAAAAGATGATGCGGTGCAGCAGCACTTGCGGCTGATGGCAAGGGATACGGCGCGTAACGATAGGTGGTGGGGGGTGTCGCAACCATCACCAACTCACCGTATGCACCTCGACCAGCCGCTCGCGTCTTCGCCAAATTTGCGGGGAGCATAACTTCTTTTGGCTGTGCTTTCTTGCATTCAACCTGAAAGCAGAAGGAGAATTGGTCAGGGCTTTCGTCAACAGTCTGGTGTTGTTGGAGAGGCTTGAGGGTTGATAAGTTGATCAATCATTTTGGTTGTAATCTAAATGCTGTGTGATCCATGCAATTCTCATCTTGGACAGGATCAAATACAGCGGATGCTGTTCAAAGGACTTCTAACTTTCACAATTGTTCCTGATCTCCAAGAGACAGGGAAATCTCTACTTTCGAGTTCAAATATTTCCCAAGAATGACTCGGAGTAGACCAGCGGGTGGCATGTGTGTCAAATACAAATAGCCAATGTGAAGCTTGGACTCTGCCTCGATTATCCGGTAAATTAATTCCGTTCATCTCTTGTTGGTCTTCTACCACTGCCATCAGCTTTCCGAATTCCCCTTCCATTGCGGTGGAACTTGGTAAATAGTGTCTTGTCGTCTTGTCGAGATCTTTAATTTTGGGGGAGGACAGGGTTGTCCCTTGCCTTGTCGGGTTGGTAAATTGAGAATGCTGTTAACGTGATCTACTCATGCAGGTAGGACAGAGGTAGAGGAGGATCATCAATGGAGTCTCAAGCTAGACCTGACTGTTTTACATAATTGGGAAATACAACTCACCATTTTGTTGTTTATCTCGTGGAAGTGAATCTCGCAAACTTTGTCAACAACGTCCTCACTCTGAAATGTGACGAAGCCAAAACCTGCAATCAAAAAACATGAAAAAACATTAGTCATCAGTTCAAATGAATTAAACATGAAATCTCTACGATCAACAGATACCAAGCGTAATCAACAGTTGACCCGACCCAAATGACTATTGTGACAAACGATTAAATCTCGTATTATTTAAATCGACCTGATGAATGATTTCGTATTATGCGAAGCTGATAATGAAACAAAGCGTTCAAATAATCCCAATAAATAAACGTTAATCGAAAGTCATTCCTGTGAAATGATGAATTCAGGGCAGAAGCTTTATGATAAATTTCAGTGAATCTCGAAAAGAGTATTCAGTGACTTAATTAGGATTGGAATGGAAGTTTTGCCTCATCACATCCAGATATACATCGGTCTGATGAGTCATATCAGCGCAAAATCATAAACCGCGAGGTACTTAACTCGATATTGGGACGAAAAGTTTTGGCTTGAATTCGAGTGGGAGAGCACCCACTGAAAATACTTAATCGGCTTTCTTGCCTGAAATCTTGGCATCACTTGAAGAAGACTAACTACCACAATTTCCTCATTCCATCAGCTTATATGGCTGAAACTATTTTCTCAGTGACTCGGTGAGGTAACTTCATCAAGAATTAAGGGTTATTAAAAACTTTTCAATGCTCACTGTGGATGATATTAATCTAGGCTTCCGCTTAGTCCACTGTTACTTCTTAAATCCACATTACTCGGTGGAGAAATTTTGCAACTCAAAAGTCCAAAAACGGCTTGACTGAGTTTATGAAATATCCGGGTGATGTCGCCCGTGATAACCTCCCGAGAAAATTTAGTATATCTTGAGTTTCTCGTGCGCTTCGTTGCTTATATACGAAAAGATTATGCAACTTGAGGTGGAGTTTCAGGAGTGGATGAATATATTGAAAATTTTGGTTCGCGTTTCTGGAATCATGGCGTCTTGATGGCATAAATTTTAAAAAATATTGAGGTCAAACGACATCATTTCGTCACCCACACCATCTTTTCTCCCACAACTGAAAACTCGTTCATTACAGTTTCTTGTAGTGATGGGAATAGACTCGAGTGCAACGGTGGTGATTACTTTAAGTACAAAGTCTGTAAAGACGTCCAGTTTGAAGTTCATGTCATTTACGGAGGACTCGGTGCTTCCGATGTTCTCTACCTCTGTAAGAGGATTTTGTACGTACTTTCAGCTCATTGTGACTGATATTTAATTAATGTTGTTCTTTTGAGTAGAGTATTAAATACTAAATGGAATCTAGAGCACATCAACAGAGGATTGAGGCTGCTTTTCTAAAATAATACCATCCATTTGTCCGGTAAAAAAAGTTGGGGATTTCTTTGCTGTTCACAAATCCGCAAACATCGCGATAAAATTTAACTGGAAAAACAAATATCCGAGTAACAGGAATGTCTGCCAAGGCAACCGGCTGTACAATTCAATTTCGTTGACTCAATAAGACTTTTTCCTTCTTCCTCACGGAGATTCCCACAAAGAGGGGCCGAATCTACCGGATAAAAACATCGGAAAAATTTGAATATTCTAATACCCAAGGTTTTCTTATTATTTCACAACCCCAGATTTACGGAATGACTCGTTCTTGAGGGGCGAGTCCATATAATCCTGGTTAATATCAAGGAGAATTGGGATGAGACATGCACAAGGGTCACCAGGGGCAGAGTGTCAAGCCCCTTATTTAACTGGAAAAATTCATTTTTTCTATTTCACCAGTGGAAAAAAAATCGTGCACAGTCAGCCCTCCAGTCACCAGCTGCTCTCATTTCAATAAAAACGGATAAGATGAACACCAAAATGTTCATTTTATCTCTCATCCTGTCACATCTTCTCTTATATATCCTCTTAACCCAGAGGCTCCCTCAATGATCCTTATAAGTGCGGTGTAAAATTACCCGTACAGTGCTGCGTCAGTTTATATTCCCCCTGGTTCTTTTTTTTTCCAGTTTCTCATGCTTCTTTTTGTTCTTCTCTCATCCCCTTCATCTGGCCTCCAGAAATTTCCTCCACCCGTCATACTTTATTTCCTCTCCATCTCCCACCTTTATTTCTCCCACGGCTGAATCGTCCCACATAACCTCCAGGCAACTTCCCCCCCCCCCTTTTTGCCCCTTACGTATTCACAATTTTTTATTCCCACTCCCTCTCCCCTCCCTCTCTCTCACTCTCTTTCGCTTCTACTTTTAATTCGTGGTAAAAATGCAAATCGCGCAAAACTTTTTTGCCACCGGGCTTCGTTAGAAAAATTAATCTGGCCACCCAGAGTTTGTTCGATATTAAGGCTGCATTTTTTTCTCCCTTCAGTTCGAAATAATAAAATTAAAAAAAAAATGTGGACAGCAGCCGCTCCATGATTGCACGGGGTACCTGTAATTTTTTACGACTCTTCATTTCTTTTTTTTTGTTCTCATTGACACATTTCACCACTCGATGCTGTGAAAAAATTTCCCTCGCATATTGTGCTGTATTGTTTATTACATTCGAACCTCTAGGGTGTGTTTTTTAAGAGAAAAAGGGAAATGACTGAGTGATAGTATTTGAGCATGTATTGAGTCGCTAACTCAGTAGCGAAGCGGTAAAACGAATCAAATCGACGTAACTCTTACCTGAGTTTTTGAGGAATAGCTCCGAATCGAAGGGAGATGCAACGAAATTTTGGTAAAAGCCTCTTTCGTAGCTCTCAATTCGCTCTATAAAAAAGATCATGACAAGAATTTTGCTATCTGCCTTAGATTCCGAGATATTAATTGAAAACTGACAACAGTAAAAATTATAGATATTAATTTATCAGAAGTAAAAATATGTCGCAAAAAGTGTCGACCTTTCACCCACTTGTAAATACCCTCCAGTGTTGAAAACACGCCTTAAAATGGCCCTGCATCCTTCGACATTTCACATTTCAACTGCAATGGGTCATGTTAAAATTTTTTTATTCGAAAAGAGTTTGAGAGAAATTTTTTCTGCCGAAGTAGACGAGTCGGTTCAAAGTGCTAAAATTTTTTTTTTCCAACCCCTGAATGTGGAAATGTACCGCGCACTTACACTCCATATTACCCATTTTTGCCCCTCATAACTTCCCCTTTGATGCCGGAAATTCATCAAAACACATTACTGAAATCTAAAAAAAACGTCGAATACGATTTTCATGGAAATAAAAAGGCCCGGGAAAAATCGTTAATGCTCACAATCGCTCGATGGTCCGCGATAGTTTCGAGTTCCGTTTCCGGCGATAGTGAAAACAAGTAGGGGATCATTGGGTGGTGGGGGTGGAAGCGGGGAGGGGGAGGTGGGGGTGGCCACCGGATTACCGGTGAAACTGAGTCAGCTTCAACCGGCGCCCAACTACGATCAGTAGTGCAGCCCAGGGCTTCCCGAGATAATGCGGCAAAAGCTCAGATTAAGCCCTCCTCCCTCCCTCCCCCGCCCCCTCCTGCACTTCAATTCTACCCATACTCTTTTAGATAATTCCTCGTTAAATATCGCACCGTAATGGCACCCTTAACCTGAACACTTAATACTACTGATATACTTGTGAATGGGTTTTTAGACAAAATGTTGAGAACAATTTATGACTGGCTTTGGACATGACGGTGATGAAATGTTTCATATATTATAACAATTCAATTTTATCTAATATGGAATTGTTAATACATTCCTCACATTTTTTGTAAGGATCGGAAACTTATACATTCGACATTCATGGAGATGATGAGTAGTTGTACTTGTATCAAGTACTTGATAAAAGTCCTTGTGCTTGCACAAAGTACTGCTTCAAGTACATGTTCTTGCCCAAAGTACTATTCGAAAGCACATGTGCTTGCAAAAGTACATCTCCACAACATTTGTGCTTGCAAGCACTCGAATCAAGCAACTCCACTCATCTGCAAATACTTCGTGCAAGCTCCCCCTTTCCCAATAACATCCAAAAATAATTGATAACTCTTCTACCATACGACTCCATATCAAGATCGCCCTGAATAATCCAAAACCCTACCACTTCCCGATAAACTCGATTGCTTCATTTCACGGGGACACGCGTCACGAGTCTCAAAGGGGTTGTTACAACCCCTCACCTTGACTACTATCCCCCCCACCTACCCGCCGCCCCCTCCAGGTTGCATGCATTTTCATTGCAGCCAAGGCATTCGCATGATTCCATTAAGTAGTGAAGGTAACCCACTGGTCAGACCCCACCCCCTCCCCGGCCAGATAGTAGGACCAAACCGTAAATCAACAAGTTGATCGCCTCATCCCTCTGGCATCATATCTTTACTTGATCTCCTCTCCACCTGCAGTTGAAACTATTCCGCCCCCTCCCCTTCCCCTCACCCAACGGGCTCTCACGTATTGTAGCCCTGGCTATTACCATTGAAACATTAATGACTGCGCAGGCGTGCATACTAGTTGTTAAGTAGATTGTTACTAGGAAATGGTCAGACAGGATATTAGTATTCCCACTACGTGTCTTCTTGAACAGATATGGGGTGATGGGTGGGGGGGGGAGGGGGGTTACGGTATTAATCGATTATGCGAATGTCAAATGACGCAGTGCCACTGGACTTGAGGCTCCTCTCTGTACAGTCACTGTTGTCCACCCCCGTTCCCGTCGTCCACCCCCTGGATCCACTCAGTGCGGAACCCCATGGGAGGAAGTAACTCGAGGTCTACGAGCAGCAGTTACGCGGCTGGACCCTTTATTGGCTACTAACTTCCTGTCCTGTGGCTCGCCACTCCTCCCACTATCTACCCCTCATGGCTGACCAGTAATAACCATTACTACTACCTAGTTTTACGAGGCGACTTAAAACTTTCACAAGCAGTATAGGGTGATGTCAAGTCAGTGCTCATTCTCGTGGGGTATTGACAGTGAAGGAGGCACCGTTGTGATGGGTCATGCTGTGGGGACAGAGAGTCAGATGTATGTTTTGATTTCATCTGATTTGTGATAATTGGGTGAAATTGAGGGGGAGTGGGGGAGGTAGTGTGGTAGTA